TATTTCACTTTCCTCTCCTGAGAAAGGTGTCCTGCCGGCTATAGATATCCTGTTCGGATAGATAGATTTGAACATAAAACAATTCGGAGCTAACTAATTTGCTCATTAAGCTGCGACCGAGGCTGAGTCATTGGCAGCTCATTACGGACAGTTAAGCACTCTCACACACACAAATACCATACTCACACACACACACACTTTCCTATCAAGAGGGTGTGGCATAATTTTGGGGGCAGCTCACATGCTGAGCCGCTAAGAACAAGCAGACGAAGCTCTGCTAACTGCCCCCCCAAAAAAAAAAAAGTATGAATGACGCTAATGCCCCTGCCACCAGTCTGGTGTGTGTGGGTGTCTGAAGTGTGTGTGGAGTGTATTGCAGGGTAGCTTAAGTTGTCGTAGACGCGTATCTATGACGTCAGCGTGCAGCGTTAACCGCAAATAATTCATTTGCCTTTTGTTGGCCCCCGGCTTTAGTCTCGTTTTTGGGTTCAATTTTCACTTTTGCAGCTAGCCATGGCCGGTCTGGCTCTGCCGGGCCGAGGGGGGGAGTCAGCGACAGGACTATACAGAAAGGGAGTCGGCGGAGGGCGAGCGTAAATTTAAATAAATGCTTTGAAGCACACTAAAAGCGATTTATCTTTGTCGATTGTGGATTACGAACATGCCCTCCTCCAACTCCTATTCCAGCCTTCTGCCATCTGCCTCCGCCCCCAGGATCCTCCTTCAACCGCCAATCCCTGACGAAAGAGGGAAAAAAACATTTTTCATATTGTGTCAGCAACGAGCTGGTCTCTGTCTGTCTGTGTGTGTCGTCCTTGTTCGTGTGTGTGTTTTGTGTGTTAGTTTGTGTGTGTGCCAGTGGGATTGTGCGTCTGTTTGCACAAAGACTTGTCAGTCAACGTGGGAGTCCTGGCCAAAGGAGCACAAGGAGCATCTGCTGCCCTTGCTACCCTTTTGTCCTTCCGTCTATCTGTCCGTCTATCCAGTTCTGTCCCGTCCGCCTGTCTCGGTGTCCTGCTCATCAGGCTTCGTTTTATTGATTAATCGTTTGCTGCTGCTTAATGCTGCTGCTCTCCTGCCTTGCCACCACCACACTGCCCCCATCCCGTCTTCATCAGCTCCTTCTTTTGGTCACATTAGCGCTGCTCCGGCTGCCTCTTCATCCCAAAACAATTCCTTTGTTCGAATTGGCCAATTTTTGCTGCATTGCCTGGCTTTAACTCGCAAACTTTTCGCTCGGAAAACAGCCCACACGACGTATACGCAATATTTTTGTCCGGAGGGGCGAAAGTTGGAGGGTTTTATTTTTTAGAGACTAATCAAGGGGAGAAAGTTTTGGCATTGAATCGGCAGAAGGCTGTTCTTTGTTTGGATAATGAATGAATATTTTTGAAATCAATAGATTCTTCTTAAATAACCCCAGTTTTCATATCTTTAATCCTAAATGAAATCTATCAATCCCGAGTCGTGGGCCAGCTGCTTCCGTTGGATTATAATCTGGAAGATGCGGCGCCCACGCAGGACTCGATAAATTGCTAGATTGCACAAAGTACCAAAGGACGAAGGAGACAAACAAAGGGGGCATGCCACAGAGGAGGGCCAAGAGAAGGAGCAGGCAGCAGCTAGGCAGGACCAAATGCCAATGCAAAAAAGGTAGAAACAAACGCGATAAACTTGCGGCTGCGGAAAAGCGAATGGGAAAAAAAGATTATTGGAACACAGAAAGTTTTTCTTCTCGTCCTGTTGTACACATGTGTCCAGCCGCAAAGTGGGCTGGTGGATGGTGGTGGCAGGACGACCAGGATAAAGAAGTGAAAAGCGGTATGAACAAAACGCAGCTATAGTGTAATACAGCTCAGTGTTGTCAGCTGTCGCCAGTCGACAACAGTGGCAGCAACAAATCGTTTATGGCCCAAACACCTAAGCAAATATGTGAGATTCCATATATACAATATTACATATACATATATATACGTGTGTGTAAGCGAGAGTGTGTGTGATTGGCGTACATAAGTGAGAATGCGTGTAAAGTGTTTGTAATCAATCATTTATGAAATTACGCTACTTCCGCTTTTGACAATTTTCTTTCAACGACAAAGGCTCCAACACCCACCCACACCATACCATGCCACGCCATCCCATGCCACCCAGTTTCTCTCCATGTGGGGACCGCTCCTTTGGTGACGTAAGGTTATAGGATATGTGTCTATATGTAAAATGCAAATTTACACACACACACTAAGAAGTATATGAAACAAAAATCCTTCACATCAAATCTAAATCTTCGATGGAAATAGATTATGGCCCAAAAAAAGCAAACTATGGTGGCGGAAATTACCCATATGTGGATGTTGTTTCTTGTTGGCAAACAAATTTGGTTAGAAAATTGAAATTTAATATACTGCCAGGTGATTATTATAATTGAAGAGCACATACTTGCTGAAGGATTTCATTGTCCTTTGACATACTAGCTCTAAGATCATCAAATATTTAAAATATTATGTGTTATGGAGGCACTAAAAAATAATCGAATGGCCGCAACAATGGGACTGTCATTGCCATCATCATCTTTGGCTTGCTTTTTGAAACAAAACAAGGCCAAAAGATGGGACCAAACCGCAAACTAAGGATACAAAATGTTGCCTTGAAGCTCCGGGGCTTTCGGCCAATGGGCCTCGGCTTCACTTTGCGGTTCGCCGCAATGTCAGGCCCTTTGCGACTAATTAGACGAACTTGCGGTCGAATGAGGTGCGTAATCATAAATAAATACATCTATACATGCGGCAGCTTTGATGAGTGTGCAAATTATTTGGTCATTTAATTCAGTTAACTGGAGCATAAAGGATATGGATATGGATATGGTAGAGATATCACATGAAATACCGACACTGGCCGGAATAGTCGCACAGAATTTTTGGTTCGGGCCATGTGCAAAAACGTGTTTTGTGCTGGAATCCTGGCATTTGGCACTTGGAAAAGCCAAGGAGCCTCCTGCTGAATGGCCAGAATAAGAATATGAGAGAGCCGCCGCAGGACGAAAGAGAAAAAGAGAGAGAGAGTGAAGCGCGCGCAGTTGAAAATTCAAATCTTCTGTTGGAAAATACCTTTTCAGTTGTTAAGTCTCTGTCAGGGTAATATTTTGGCTAATTTTTATATAATTTAAGGACTATTAAGGGATTTTTATTAGACAAATAAAAGGATATCAATTGATTTAAAAATATTTTAAGTTTTTATGAATTTTTATGTTAATTTTGAAGAAAACATTTGCCTGTTGAAACTTATATAAACTGCGAAAAAGTTTGCAGAATCCCCAAAAGCCTCCAAAACTGAGAGCCAAACTAAAGGATGCTGAGAGAGTGAGAGAAAGAGAGTGAAAGCAGACCCCTGGAAATGAAAGAGAGGCTCTGGCCGAAGAGAGGAAGAAATTTAACTCGATTTCCACTCGAAAAGGAGAGCAAGATTTTCGAACTAGAATTATGTTAAGGCTGCCACTGCTGCTACTCGGTTTTCTCTGCTCTGATTCCCCTTACTACCTGCCACCCCCACTGCCACTCCCCTCTTGTTGGTTAGTTTAAAGCCCTTGCCTCCAGTTCTTACTGTTGTTGTTGTTGTTTTTGCTTCTGTGGCTGCACAGCGCATTAAATGTGTGCCACCAGGCGTATGCGTAATTTAAATTTAAATTTGTGTGTGTATGTACATATGTCTGCCCCTAGCACCTGCACACCCACTTCTCCAGCCACCTCCCTTCCCTTTCAGTCTTCTTCTTCTTCCCACTAGCATCTTGTGTATTTTTGGCCTGAGTCGCTGTTGTTGTTGTTGTTGTTTTGTTGCTGTCTGCTTAGCATTTGCCTCAAGTTTTGTTAATCAGCGCAATTCACATTTCTTTTTTTTTTTTTTTAGTCGTAACGTTTCTCTCTGAGAGATTTTGCAAAAGTATTCAAAAGGTTTTTCCTTTACGTACACACAGAGACCCTCATTAGCGTAGTCATTGTTTTTTAGCCAGCCTCCTCCTGCCGCCATGCCTCCTGTCCCGCCCAGAAGCCATTTCAGGTTTTCAGGTTAAGGAATGGAATCTCTGGCCAGCACTCGACAAATAATTACCAATTATATGAAACAGACATCAAATATGCAACCAAAATCTGTGCGAAGCAAGTTGGTGTTGTTGCGACCAGCTGCAGCCGAGCTTAAGTGCCACAAATTAACCGCAACGTGGACTCGCAGCATCGCTGTTTGACCCACCGACCCACCGACCCACCGCCGACCCCTGTCGCTATCTCGTTCGCACTTTACGCGACTGCCACATAATTACGAGACTGAAATATGAATCCTTGGACAAGAGTCCTGCCACTGGTTATGGGCCAACAGCAGAATAAGCTTTGCACTGACAAAATGGCCAATAAGAAAAGGGATATTAAAGGTCTTTAGGTAAGGGCTTTGAAAAATAGATATTTTTATTCAAAAAAAAGGTATCTTCAAAATTTATTGATATTTTTGAATAAAAATACTCATAGTCCTTGTCAAAAAAAGCCCTTTCATTAAACTACCAACAGAAACAAACTACTGAATAAATAATAGCCTTTCAAAGCCTATCATCCCTTCAAAAAAAAAATAGATTTTTTTTCAGTGCAACATTGCTGTTTTAGGGCTTTTGGTTTTGTTTCCAGATTTTCCCTTTTTTCGCAGCTCAACTTTAATAATTAATGAGCAGCTAAAAATGTCACGCGGTGCGGAAGAGTTTCTGGCTTGGCCCGAGCCCGAGCCCGAAGTGGAAAGCGAATGAGGTTGGGACTTAATTGGGTAAGAGTGTGGGTTTTTTTCAAGAGTTTCCACGAGGAAGGAATTTCTGGGGAAGTTAGAGGATTAGAGGGGTTAAGTGGCCAAGAAGTTCGAGGGATAAGCTGCCATTTCTGGTGAAAGTTTACATTTCTTCCATTCTGTCTTGTAATTGTTTTGTTATCTGGGCTTTTCGAGGAGGATTATAAGTATTTTGAAGAACTCACCTTGCAGTCGTCGCACTGGTTGATCAGCGAGTACACCTGCCGGCAGTCGAAGCGGAACAAGATCTCGGCCAGTTCGCAGGTGATGCGATTCGCCAGCCCGTCCACGTCCAGCAGATCGTTTAGGATGCGGAGGCACTCGGTCCGGTCCGTTAGGCTGGCGTTGAGGGCGAGGGTGTGCAGGGCACTGAAGACGCTCCGCTCGCAGCAGTTGCGCAGCCGCAGCGTCTGCAGACGCTCCAGTAGCTGGCCGGGCGACCGGAGACCGCACAGATGCTGCGGACTCGACTCGGCGGAATCGCCCAGATATTCAAGGCACTGTTGTTGTTGCTCCTGTTGCTCCTGTTCCATCTCTACCTGCTGAATGCCCTCCTGGGCATGCAGATGACTGTATGAAGGCGTGGGCTCCACCTCTGCCTCTGGAATAGTGGTTAGGGTGGTGGTACTGCCGGCAGAGGTCGTACTATCGCCCACATCCAGATCGTCAGTGGTGCTGGGCGCCGAAGGACTATCCTCCGTGTAATATCCTTCCCTCTCCCGACGCACTCGACTGCTGCTACTGCTGCTGGTTCTGCTCCTGCTGCTTAAACGCATCTGACTTGTCTTATAGTTTACGAAATACTTGACTTTATTGTTATTGGTGGCGCTCCGTTTCGTTTTGGAGGTTCTGCTGGGCTGCTGCTGAGGTTGCTGCTGCTGTTCGGCGCAGGATCGGGGGCAGGCTGGGGGCCCGGGTCCCTCATCGACCCAGGCCATGGGCAGTGTACCAGCCGAGCACTGACCCTAAAAATGGACAAAATATTAAGATAATTGGTTAGTAAAGTTTGTAATATTTTTTGATAAAAGAAAGCTTTAGAAATAGGAGTACAAGAGCTTGTCCTTTGACCTGAAGCTCTCAAAAAAATTTCATTCACATTTTCGTTAGAATTTCCATAACGAATATGAATGAAATATCGTACAACTGTTCTCTGTTACCACTTTCTGCAACCCGCCATCAATTAACTGTCTTGTGTGATTTAAAAATTAAATCAACCAACTGTGATAGCCAACACACGTACACCCAACACATACCACCCAGAAAGGATAGTGGAGGAAGGTTTTAAGGGCAGGATGGGTGGTGGGATGGCAGGATGGCTGGCAAGCCAGCGGGTGCAGCAAAAACAAAAAGCTCACTGGCGGTATATTGGAAAAGTTTTGCTTGGCTAACAACAACAGGGAAAGTCATAAAATGCAACAACAAAAACAAGTAAATAGAAGCCAAAGCAGCGAACTACAGCCAAATAACAACAACAACAACTACAACAAACAATAACAATAACAAGAACAATAAAAAAGAGCATGAAGTGCATAAAGAGCTGATGTTTTTTGTTATTAAAATGACCGCACTTCGTTGGAATTTTCCACATGCTTGCATAAAACTCAAGGCAGTTGCAACAACAAACATACTACATATCCTTCTGGCAGGAGCAGAGTAGGGTACGCGTGGCAGTAAAAAATCTGCAGAACATTTTTGTAAAAATTACAATCAATATTGAAAAACAGGCAACCCACTTAGGTCTCTAATAGCCACTATCAAGTGTAATAGAATTATACATTTTAAACTATTAGTTTGGCAAAAAATTACTTAAATTTCAAACTCAAAAATCAGGAAACTTTTCCCTTTCCATTCCTGCCACGAATGACCCTTTGAACTTTCCGGCTGTGAGTAATATGCAACAATCAACAACTCTCAATTGCTGCGTGTCCTGTGTATGTCCTGTGTGCCCTTCATTCCACGTCCCTTGCTCCTCCCTTGTATCCCCTAGTCAGCTCAATCGTTTTCCATGTTCCCCATGTTCCCGGGGCAATAACAATAAGCAGCAGAGAATTTTCACTTGCAATACGCAGAAATATGCCCAGGCCTGGAGGCTTTTCTGACGGCGAGGGATGGCCGGTTGCAGGGGTGGTCTTAACTCAAATGAAAAATCATACAAAAGGGAAACTAATACAGCAAAACACACATTCACAGACACACTGATAGTCGCATACACACACAGGCCCGCAGAGAAGGACGAGCACGTGTACGGGCAGCCATTGTTGATTTAATGGCAGACCAGCTGCGGCCCAATGCACAACAATGCGGCCAACAGGGCTGGGGGAGAGCCTTGAACGGGGGGAGTGGGGGTGGCGGGGAAAAAGGATTCACGCACACACCCACATACAGCGCCAGGATAAAAAATAAAGATAAATTCTTCAATTCGCAGCAGGCAAAAAATAAGAAATTACTGCCATTGGGGGTGGAGGTGGTGAAAGGAAAAACCTTTCGAGACCTGGATCCCCTCCAGCCCCCCCGAACTACTGTTCTGTTGGCCAACTTTTGGGAAACTTTTCAATTTCAGCTCGATTGGCAAGTTCGTAATGAGCCACACTTGAGGCTGAAGCGCCAGAGCGCCACTAAATCCAATTAATAATTAATTTATGCATATTCTCAGGAAAGTAAGGGAGCAACCCTGACGACTGTCATTAAACACTTTTCAAATCGACTTTTGCCCGAAAAGACCTTTCGAATCAATTTCCGAGGACTGAGAACTGAGCACTGAGGATTGAGGACTGAACACCGAGAGCCAGGGATTCATGAATTTTGTATTCAGTTCGGAGAACACAACGAAAAGTTTCCAGGCCATCGGACATTCTTCAATATTTCCTGACTCGCCGCCCCTCGGATAGTGTTAAAATCCATTGGCCATAATTGTCTTACATTTTTTGGTAGCACATTGAATGCAGTCGGTGCACTGGACCGAGAAGGGAGATGGGACAGTGGGGCAGCTGGGCAGTGAGAAGGACATGAAATATTCATATCTGGTCTGAGGATAAGTGAAATTGCAACCGGAATTCCAATGGCCAAGGCCCCATGGCAAAATGTTAAACAATTCATGTGTGTGTCGGGTCAGACTCTATCACTCCGGCCTCCATCTCTGTGTCTGTCTCTTTCTGGGCATGGTGTGCCATCTCACTCTAGACGGGGGCAAAAGTGTTCTTATGCAAGTTGTCATTAACTTTGCTGTGTGGACCTGAAACTGACTGACAGCCAGATGGCTTTGGGCATTGTGCCGCAAAACAACAAGTTGCATGAACCGTCTCCTAAATCAGGACAAGCAAAAAAAGCTACGATCTGATAACTTTTCCATAAATTTGATTTGAAATTCAATCTACTAGAGATCTGGTAATCTTTTTTGGATAGTTTAAAATACAAAACTTAATTAAATTATTAAGAAATCTTGAGAAATCTTTTCTCTAGGTGCAGAACGTTGCACACACAACGAAAAAACTCAAACAAAGCCGGCATAATGGAGTATGCATTATGGCTAATGGCACACGCCTACAACTACACACTCAGATAGCTGGTCAGATAGCTGGGGATGTCCTTTGTGAGTGTTATCCTTTGTGCAGGTTCGCCAGAGAGGCGGGGCCACAATGTCTAATAAGCCACGAAGGGAGGACGAGCTCCTAAATGCTTAGACAATGAAAATGGACTTGTCGCACAATGATGTCAGCCGCAGAGCAGAAAAAAAAGAGGCGTGGATGGGGCAAAAAGGGCGTAGTGCCTCGGAGGCCAAGGAGGCTGAGGACCTGCCTGCTGGCCGGCCTGCCTGCCTGCCACTTGACCCATGACACGGCTCGAGTCCTGCGACACAATCTCAGATGGATGTGCGACATGCCTCATTTCGCCTCAAAGGCTGGTTAACCCGTAAATGCCATAAGAAATTAATGCCTTGATTAGTTGTCGAGGTGCCAGGGGTTAGGCCAAGCGAAATATTATTCAAAACTTTTCCGAGTGGACCGAGTGGTGACTGGGTTCCTGGGTGCCGCCGAGGGTGGGTGGCAATTGAAATCTGTCAGCTTTCTTGGCAGCAGAAGGAATGTCAACTTCTGAGGCTAGAATGGGGGAAAAAGCCCAAAGTGCACTTGAGCTAAACACCAACAGCTGTACTAAAACAACAAAAACAACAACAGCGGCATCTAAGAAAGCAACAGCAACAAGAACAAGAACAACATGCAACAGCAACATGCAACAACAATGGCAAACGGCAAACGGAACCGACAACACTTTAAATGTTACAGCTTAACCTCGACGGGCAATTCAAACAATGTACAAACACAAACACACGTCCGTATCAGGACATGAGGCATATGCCAGTAAGATTTTGTGTGTGTGTGTGTGTGCGGGTGTATGTCAAATTTTAACGCCTGTCAACAATGCAGGCAGGGGAAAAAAAATGCAACGGCAATGGAAACGACAACAACAGCCCAAGAACATGTCGCAAGCAGCACTCAAATTTTCAAATGCATGCACATATAAATGGGTGTGTGAAGAATACCCTTCTAAAATAAGGGTAAAAGCAATATTTTATATAATATTGGTTATATTAAAAGCAACCATAGATGATGTAAAAGTTGTTTGTATCTTTGGAACAACTTTTTACTAAAAATAAGTTCTACATGGCGTATACTTAATATTCTGAAACCTAAGTTACTTATTTCTGAAGGCAACCCTCTTTTAATTTTAAATAGATAATCAAGACATAGAAAAGGCCCACATCTGTAAATATTTTTAATTAAAACTCAAGACTAGCAACAATAGAAACAACCGCTAGTTTCTGGATAACAGGGCGTATGAGTGATATTTTAGAAGGTGCTAAAATAACTCCGAATTTTGTAAAATTTTAAAATAAATAACTAGGCAACTGCTAACTTTTTTATCAAAAAATCTTTCTCTTACTATAAACTACTAGTCAAGTTTAATATTTAAAGTCTTAACTTCCACTTTCAACCATCCATTTTTAGTTTATTTTTGTACTTTGATTTTATATCCCACTTATAAAAGATAACACTACCGTTGATTTAAATTTGAAGCTTTATTACTCTCCATTATTTACTTTTATTCGAAACCATATATGGTGGAATAACCAAGCTTCATGGGTTTCTGGTTTATTGATGCTTTCGGGTGTCCTGTTTCCTGCATTTCAGCAATTCACCCGCAGAGGTATCAGATATTCGTTGGCTGCCGCATTTTTGCTTAGATATTTATGCAGTTCGTCAGTAGATGTGTGTGTGTGTGCTGCAGAAGCGTAAAAACTGACAGCCGACACACACTCTGAAATATAGTGGGTGGGATGGGTAACGCCCACACATAAACTGGCACAGACACACAGCCGCGTTGACGTGGCTGAAAGCCGCAAGGGACAGGCGTTTGTGAGTTGCGAGGGGAACTACTGTGGGCTGAGGAGGAGTGGGCTGTGGGATTGCGGGTCGTAGGCAAATTGTTTGTCACATGGCTGGGCCATCTTCTGATCCCCACCCTGCATTTCACCTTGGTGTTGGCTTGGATTCGTTGCCGTTTTGTTGTCAAAATCATAAACATGAACCCGGTCACGCCTCCTACCACCACCCTAGCACCGTACTACCTTATGACCTCCTACTACCCCGTGCCCTCCACTAAACGCTTGGCAGATTCGTAGCCATTTCGCATTGTTTTGCACATTTGTCGATCTGCACGCATTTGCCAGCTGCATTGCTTTGCATAACAAGTGTAATCCAGCAGCCAGGCAGTCAGGACATGCGATTCGCACAGCTCCTTTGCTCCATTCCGCAATTATGCAACAATTTTCGATGTGCAATTGGCAGGCAAACGCTAAATGGATGCAAAAGCATTCTCATTTTCCGAATTCCAAGTCGGCGGCTAAAATATCCACCCAAAAAATCCCCAAAAAAGAAAAAGAAGAATCAGAGTCCTGAGAGTACAAAGATTTCTGTCAGGACAATTACATTTCGTGCATTATTCAGTGAACGCTCCCGAAGGTCTAATCCAATGGGACAAATTGTTTCAACACGCAACGCCAAGTGGGCCAAAAAAAAAAAAAACAAACGAAACCCAGAAGTGGGAGATGTTTTGTCAGTGATTTCTCAAATGGTATTCATGACGCTCCTTAATAGTTTATAAGATTCTCGGGGATTGTGTTTCCTCCAAAGCATTTTCAATAAATTAAATTCCACTCTTGTGTGTATTTTGAAACATAATAATAAAAGTATATGTACATAATAAACACCCACCCATCACACTGCCTCGCAGCTAATGCAATAATGTAGGAATTATGTTTTATGGCCATTATCAAAGGCAATCCATCAAGTCAAAAAGAGCCCGCTGGCAGGCTGGCTGGCTGGCTGGATAGCTGGATAGCTGGATGGCTGGCACTTTTTTGTTCACTCTGCATATCATTTTAATCATATTTAAACAGCGCCCGTATTTATCACTCATTATTTATGCGTATATCAATCTATATGGCCCCGAGAGCCCATTAACGGGCAAACAAATGCTTGTGAGGGGAAATTTTTGGCCAAAAACCGCGCCCCAAATAAAAGGGAGAGTCTAAGGTGTGAGGGATTAATGGAGGACATCGACAACAACAGCTGAAAACAACGAAAAAAAAAAAAGGAGGCGACGCACCTGTCTGTCTGTCACATCACATATTTGTTTGCCTAAAGGACACACGCTCACCCGCACACACTCGAAGGCCCAGGCGCCTGTCGTTATGCCACACAATTTTATCAACATTAATTTGTCAAACATTTACCGGCATTTCGTACAAGTGTGTGGGTGTGTGGGTGACTGTGTGTGTGTGTGTCTGAGAGTGTATGCCACCTATATGGCATATCTCCTTCTCACTCTGTCAGTCCCTTTTCTAATGAGAACAATAAGTTGAATGAATTTAATGAAATGAGATGTAAACATGTGGACAGCTGTGGACAGCAAGCAACAAAAAGGAAAGCCCAGAAGTATCCTGGCCATTGTTTGTTTCCCTCTCTTTCTCTCTCTTGCTGTCTCTGCTATCTATTTGCCATCTCTTTCACTGTAGTATAACGTATCCCTTTTGCACTCAGTGAGCTGGCAGCTCCCTAGTATCAGATCCCTGCGGCGTTTGCTTGTTTTCGAACTCGTAATGAAATTCTTGAGTAGAAATTCATTTTGCAACTTTTTGCTGAAACAATGCTCATTGAATAATTTACGCCCTGCGCCAGCACAAATGAAAAACCAAAACGAAATGAAATGAATGCTGCGAGTGCAGCATAGGAATAGGACTAGGAATGGGAATGGTGTGGAAAGTGGAAAACTGCAGCAGTGCTCCACTTAGTGCTCCCCGGTCCCTGGGCAATAACTATATGTACGTGCTGAGGGTCCAGGCACTGGGCATAATTGCATTAGTCCGCGCAGGATGTGGCTCTGGCTCTGACTCTGGCTCTAGCTCCTTCTCCCATTTCATAGCCACTGCACCCCTCCCTCCACATTTGCAGCTGCCACCCCCTCTGGGGGTTAATGTAATTGTTTTGTGTATTTAGCCTGGACATTGCGTTGCAACGGAAAGGAAAACGACCTCTGGAATCACCTCGCTCACCTCCCCACTAATGAGCCAATCAATGCACGCGCCAATCCCAGGCCATCCCCTCCCATCCCATCCCATTCCAGACTTCAGGGCCAAGTTGGTCGGCAACTTCGGGCCAAGCTCGAAATGCAAATTGTTGGTAATTAACGTTTAAAGCGTTTCAGGCACGAACCATGCTTCTTAGCCTCGTTTAATCTGATGCCAACTAATTAAACTTTGTCTGTTGTGTGAAGTTTCTAATGTGGCAACATTTTAATCCGATTTTCTGAATTCTGCTCCGACTATTTGAGTTTATACTTTAAGATGAAATATGGATATTTATTATATGGCTATATCTGGTGATAAATCCCTATCTTTTCAATCAATCGAAATGCTTGAAAGGAGAACAAAAATCAGGCTTAACTCTCTGGACATTCAGACAATATTCCATAGAAATGGCATTTATTTGCCTGCTGGCGGAAAATTGATGACACTTTTCGGTTGTTTGTGTCTGGCTGGGTTCCGTTGACTCGACGGCTCGACTGTGTAGAAATGATGTAATCAGTATGAGCAGCAACCTACACAATCTGCAACAGCAACAGAAGCAAGTAGCAGTAGCAGCAGCAGCAGTACCTGCAACAGCAACAGCAGCAGCAACTGCTTACAAAATAATTGATTTTATACACATCCTTGACACAAATAAACATTCGCTCAGTTCTGCTAAAGTTGAACCCTCCACGGGGCTAACATATATGCTGGCTGGGTTTCTGGCGAAGCTCTACACAAATTTTGAATGAAATTTCACAAAGCTAACGGATTTTAATTGAATTCGAGGGCTTGCAACCTGCCACCAGTAACCTGCAACCTGCAACCTGCCATTGCCAGCCTGTGAAAAGTTTTGGAATTCAATGAATTATTGTGCCACCGAACCAGAATTCCATTTGCCAAACGAAACTGGAAACAAAATGCCAATCGGCGTGGGAGTCGGAACTATTGATTAAATCACCTGTAAACTACCCATACCCGTTCTTTCAATCTTCTCGACTCCAGGACATTCGATCCAAGTTGCAATCAATATGCGAATCGCACTTCCCAGACACTCGTGACTCGTGACATGGCCTAAAGGGCCACAAGAGCGTCGATATGCAATGCAGCCACGTAATTCCCGGCCCTAAGGACACCGCTCCGAGCTGCCATAGTCCTTACTGCCGAGACCCGGGGATGCTAGGACCTGCACTCGACACAGTGACAAGGGCCTAGCGGCAGGATGCCTGGGCCATCAGCACATCAACAGGCCGCCGAATGCCGCGAATACGGCACTGCCATCATAAATTCTGAACTCGCACGTCGGCAAAAAGTGGCAGCCAAAGTGGCAGGCAGGAGCAAAGGGCGAAATGGACAACAGAAGGCTTAGTCCATTCTGAGCCCCAAAATTGAAGAGCTGTTGGCTAATTTGCAGAAGGAGTAGCCCTTTTTTGCAGGACACGGCTAAATTGAAAGCTCGAACAGGTCTTTGCGAGGCAATTCGATTAGAGGAGCTTTGAAATTGGAGTCACAAGTTTGGAAAGTGACACGTTGCAACTCCAAAAAAGAATCATTAAAGTAAAAATAGGCTCTCATTGGCTATTATATTCGCTAGTTAGACTAATGTCCTTGAAATGGCTTGATTGACTTAATTGCTTAATTGCCGACAGGCTGACAGCATGCCAGGTTAAGTGATAGACAATCGAAATGAAATACATTCGGAGGTGAAAACCTCTCCGCTATAATTGGAAAATCAATAGTTAAGCAGCGACTTAAGCAACCGCCTGGCAGCTAATTGTCTGTCTGTCAGGAAAAGTACTCGTAAGCTGCGGTTCCTTAAAGGAATCCCAAAAAGAAAGAAGCCAAGAGAATAGTTTCCTTCAATTAAATTTGCATTAAGCCAGAATGGTGGATGGTTGATGGTTGATGGTAGATGGCAAGTGGCAAGTGGCAAATGGCAGAGGCAAGAATGCATTAATAAATATTAAGATCTCAATTACACTTGGCAGAGCCAATTCGGCGGCGGGAATGCCATAGGTGAGTGGTTAGCAAGGATTTTTTGTTGGCAAACTACCAAAAGCGAGAAAGCCACAAAAAAGAAATCAATTTGAAAGTGTTTTCCCGCCCATGTCCCGGGCTCTTCTGTCGCCCTCGTTCTACTACAATTACCAAAGCATTTTCGTTGATTTGCAGCACGTTCTGCCAGTTTCCAGCTTGCCAGCCCGCCAGCTCGCCACTGATGATGCCAACGATGATGAAGATCATTATGGGGCTGATGGCGGCGATGATGATGCTGTCGTGGCACTTCAAGTGGTCGAAGATGTGCCACACAATTGTCACAATGGAAAATAAGCGAAAAAAACACACTTTTTCCTTTGGCCGTTTGAGTGGCAAGCCAACAAAACAGAAGTAGCCTGCTCGATGGCCAGAATAACTGGCAATAATAATGTGGAAAAGGCCTTGTCCGCAGACCCAAACCTCCTGGCAAACTTTACTTCCAGTTTACGAAACTTTAATTTACTTGAAAACCTATAAATACCGTTCTTGAAAACCAGGACTCTTTCGAGTCAATCTATTCGATTTTCTATGCCTTGGCACATGAACTTTGAATTGGAAAGCATTCGATGCCAGCAATTGACAACAGCTTTCGATATTGCCAAGTTGCAGTGGCCAGGGACTGCCGGAGCATTGGCAGTCGCCTGGCAATAAGAATCCCTCCAAATGCACACAATTTGTATATGCATTCGAGTGGTTCTTTGTTCGTGTTTCTCCATTTTTGTATCCGTGTGCACTTAAGCTCTGCTTTGTTGTCAACTGCTTGACAAATTGCACCGAGAGAAAAGGCGACTGAGAACTTAATCTTTGTCACAAAAAGGACATCTTTAAAATATTTCAGACTAAGCGAGCAATAACTACTATCTAATATCTTGAGTATCTTAAAACTGTTTATTAAATGCTATCATCAGAATAAAATCAAAAAAGGATAATGTTTAAATCCTTCCATGTCGTGACTCACCTGCAAGTCGGTTGCTGTGCCCGGCTGTGCCAGATCACAGGCTGATATCCAAGGATTAAGGCGTGTTAACGAGCTCGCAGTGCCGAGTATGGATTTCTTGAGATCCACGGGTGCTGGCAAGGATGTGTTGGTGGCGTTGCCGGCTCCTGCTGACTCGGTGGTGGCCACGGCGGACAAGCTGTTATCCTGGTGACCAATCAGCTGGGCCGTCTGGGCATCAAGGATGTGGTCGCTGGCCTCTCGTTTGTTATTGTTACTATTACTGTTACTGTTGCTGTTGCTGGCGGCGAACTCCTCCGGTTGGATGTTCCTGTTATCGTTGTGCTGCAGGACACTCTCATCAATCAGACGACTCTCGTCCTGCTGCTGCTGTTCGGTTTCCGTTTCCGATTCTGCTTCCACTTCCGCTTCTGTTTCGGTCTCCGCCTCCGTATCTAATTCCGTTTCCGTTTCGTGTGGCTGCCGATGATGTTGCTCCTGCTGCTGCTGCTGCTGCGGTTGGTTGTAGTCCTCTTCGTCGGCGTCTTCACTGAGCTTTATCAGGCGATCAAAGGACTCCTCGGACAGCAGATCGTCCTCGGCCACCAGGGCAAAGATGTCCTCGTCCTCGTCGGTGGCCTGCGACGAGGGAAACTGCACGGGCAGGCCGCTCTCTTCCCGAGCCTCGGGGTTCTGATCTTCCTCCTCGTTGTTGCCTTCAATGGACTCGGTGGCCGGTGTTGCTCCTGTAACCGCACTCTTGTCCCCGGCACCTGCTCCCGTTCCTGGATCTGCTGCGTTTCCGATTCCGATTCCTGTTCCGCCTGCCCGTCCTGCAATGTCTCTGTTGCTACTGCTGCTGCTACTGTCGCGTCGTCGCCGCCTCTGATGCCGATCTCCTCCAATCCTGGTGGCGGCTACTGGCGATTCGTAGGCGTGGTCTTGAATGGGAAACTGAAGAGCGAACTCGAGATGAGGGGGCAGGAAGATGGGCAGCAGGTATGAGCCAGAGCTGCGAACGAATGACGACGATTCGCCAGTGGACGGTAACGTTGCTGCAACTCCTCCTCCTCCGCCGCCTCCTCCACCTCCTCCTCCTACTCCCCTGTCTCTGCCTCTTCCCCTCCCTCCTCCGCCCGCTAGACCTGCTGCAGTATCGCTAGTTACTCCTGCTGCAGTTGCTCCGAGTGTTGTTGCTGCCGCTGCTGATGTTGCTGCTGCTGCTGTTGCTGCCGCCGATGTTGTTGGTGCTGCTGTTGCTGCTAATGTTGAGCTGATGCTGCTGCTGCTGCCACGCCGAGCCCCCGAAATAAACGCAAGCGCCATCACGACCAGCCCGGGTCCTGGCCGCATATTGACCTCGGGTTCGGCGGTGCTAGCATGGTGCAGGCCCGCTTGAGACGCGCTTGCGACTCCAATTCAATGCGAGTAATGATGGGCTCATGGCCCCATCATCATCAGTAGTAGTGTGGGCTGCGGACTTGTTCGGTTCTGATCCGGATCCAGCTCCTTCTCCAGCTTCAGCTTTAGCTCCGGCTGCGGCTCCCTCTCCAGCTCCCGCCGATCTTTTCGATCCTGATCCTGTTCTTGTGCCCGCCGTTGCCGCTCCAGCTTCAGTTGCTGCCCAGATCCGATCCCTGCATTCAGCGGCATTAATCCCGGCCTTAATTCCAGTCGGCCAAGACACTGTTTGTTTGGTTAACGATTTACGGCTAAAACTTATTCATTCGGGCCAACATTTATGTATTATTGTACCGCGCGACTTTCGTACTTTCACTCCGACTATGGCGTTTAATTAGATTTTTTTCATTTGCATATTATTACTGCTATTGTTGCAATTAGTGGTGGTGGTGGTGGTGAGGGTGTTGGTGGTGCACAGTAACCTTGAAATTGGACATTTTGGAAATTCGTTTTCTTCGTTGAATTGATTTTGGTTTTGGCTTTACTTTTCTTTTCTTAAATTTCTTTCATTGGGGGGTTTGGGTTGCTCACATAATAAATGAATTAAGAAATCTACACTGATACAAAGAAGTGAGGTTAGGTATGTTTCTTAATGGTTTTATTTTTAGTTAATAGCACTTTGTTGGGTTAGCATGATGGCATTTTTTTTTCAATTTTAATGTGTGTTTTTCCGTTATCCTCCCGAGTTGAAAAAAAAAAAACGGTTAGAATATGTTTTGTGCGCTCACGCTCTTGATTTGCCAATGCGCTCTATATTCTCTAGCTTTGCTCCTCCTCTCCTAATCGCCAAGATACCGCTATTCATGGGAAAACATTTTTTCCAAAACTTTTATTCTCAAAACTAGACTTTACTTTCATTCTTGTAATAATATTTTAAAGCATTTTTGACCACATTGTAATTAAGGATTTTGCAAATAACGGTATTTGAGGGACAAGGAGCATTGCCGAAGGATATATAGAGAGAGAGGGAAAGGTCCAGCTCTTCGTTTCGCCGAAGCTTTTGCAACCGAACCGAACGCGAACACCGCACAAAAGAAGAAAGCCGAAAAAAACGGTCGTGAAAATCCCGTATATCTAACACACACACACACAGTCACATACACTAACGAACAGTGCAAAGAAATTTATATAATTCGCAGCCAGCGGCTGCTGCTCTGCTTTTCTGCTCGTTTCTCTCGTGGCTTATTTTTTTGTTGTTGTCCTTGCTGTTGTTGTTTTTGTTGGTTTGGCTGCAAACACAAAAACAGCGGACGGATCCACAAGGAGAACGAGAACTCGTGGGTGTACACCAGCCTTAGTGTGTGTGTGTGTGTGTAAGTGTGCCTCTCTCATACCCACCCACCCACTCACTCTCGTTCTCTCTCCTTAGCTGCGTGTGCCTGTGTGTGAGTAGTTACTTAGGGCAGCCAGGCAAGCACTCCGCATGCCATTTTTTTATTTCACACAAGCAGAAGAAGAAGAGCCCCACCATGAATAAGAAGAAGAAGTTGCTTGGAATAAGAAGCTGTATAAGAAGAAGCTGAAGCAGAGCCTAAGAAGTCGCCCCTTTCGCTACTGTAACCATTGTGCTCGTGTATTGGTGGTAAGCCTATGCGTGTTTCTCTCACTCTCTCTCTCAAGCTGTGCTTAAGTATTGGTGTTAGAGCCAAAGTCCAAGAAGTGGAAATCGTAGCATATTTATCAGCGACTACAAAAATATGAAATGGTTCCTTTCAGCCATTTTACTTATTGTTCGAAAATATTAATAAAAAAAAACATGAAAGCAAATTACTGGAGGTCCTTAATTTGTGAACGTGTTTGCAACAATAGACTACAATTTGTTTTCAGCATTTTTCTTGTATTATTTAAATCCTTGATTGTCCTCTTCGCTTTTTTTCGGAGGGCTTTCTTCCTCTGCTCTTTGTGTGTTAACTTTCACTTTTGTTTTATTTGCTGCGTTGACACTGCGCACACACACACACTCACACACGCACACAGACGCACACGCACACTCGTGGGTAGGTGTATATGTATAAGGATTTTCTCTTTTTTTTCTTTTTTTTTTGTTGGTGCGTGTGCTAGCTGTGGGATCCTTTCATTTCAGTACAACAGCCGCTTATATAAGCCCGGAACGTACCACGAAACTTTCAAACACTCATTTTTAGATTCCCTACAAATGGGTTTTTGCTCTGCCCTGGGAATTGAACCGATTTATTACGACCAGACCAGACCGACTTCTTCAAATGCGGGGCGCATTAATTTTTTGCATTATATAACATTTACCGAAGCTACCGTTTCGGGTTGCTCATTTCTTTTTTATTCTTTTCGGCGATTTCTGGGCGAGTTATCGAGTTCGAGACCACTATGTTTTTCTTTCTATTTATTTTATTTTTTTGTTAATATAATTGTAACACTTTTTAAGTGGCTAATGGCTAATACCTATGTGCAAAATATGTAAATATGTATTATATACTCGGGAGATATTCTTCGCAGAGCGCAGCATCAATTGCCGTGTAACGGTTATTTTCGCATGTGGGCGGGGACACACGGTTGGTTGCGGGGGGCGTGGTAGGCAGTGCTCGAGAGTTATGCTTGGCAGATTTTCTTAAAGTTTACGTTACGTTTTCGATTCGATGCGATACGATTCGATTCGATTCGATTATATTCGTTTCGGAAAAGCTTTCGATTCGATAAGTTTTTCGCCTGCCCAGCCACGCAATGGAGATTGGTTTTTAAAAGACCCGAATACCGTTAGATTCACTGTTTGCTGAAGTGCTGTAGTGTTTGCTGCCTGGTATTTGCTGCTGATTTTACAGGCTAGAATTGTGTGTTTTGTGGACGCGACGTCGCAGGACAAATACCGTACAATCCTGCTTCCTGCTGATGGCCCCAAACGGCACTGACTGTGCCACAATTGCAGATGGCGCTCGCCTGGAATGTGCGAGCGTGCCACAAGGACCCGAATCCTTGCCGAACCGATCCGAAACGTGAGCCGAACTCACGCCCGAGGGCACAGCAGCTGACAACCGAGAGAGACCGCTCACCGCTTCCGTTTTCCATGCGCTGACGCTCTCCTGTGTCTTCTTCCAGCTAATGATACCGTTAGCTGGCTAACATGGCAGCTAACAGAGCTCTGTTAGGCGGCAGCTTTTTCGAAAACCAATTCTATAAGGCCAGTTCGAGTTGAAGTAAGAAGAATTACTTGCTGCAGGGCACTTAATCACACGGCCCCAAACACAGACTGTCACCGAGATGCGGGGGAGTGGTATGGTCGGATTGGGAGTTTGAGCAGGAGGTGGGGTAGATGGGGGCAAAGGTAGAGGTGGGTGGTGGGTGGTGGAGCAAACGAGAGAGTCACTCAAAAGTCACCACTTGACTCAACTCATCTATTTCATTTTGCCTTTTCCCTTTACATTTACATTTGCTTTTCGGTTTTGCCGTTTGCATCTCGGCCTTTTTGTGTGCGCATTTCGTTATGGCGTTTTGTCTTTGTCTCACTTGGCCTAAATGTGTAATACCCTATAATGTCGTTTAATCCCACTCGACGTGTTTTAGTTTCGCCCGCCAGCTTACGACAAAGTCAGCCAAAGTCAGGATGTTGTCGCAGTCGATGGAGTGATAATTACCAGGTGCCTGTGGAGAATATGGGGGAATGCATTTTTAAGACCCTGTTTGTCATCGTACCTGGTTATTTTTTATTGGCCACTAAAGGAGGGATCTATTCTATACTATTTTATTGGTATGATCTAGGGACTCTAGGATCTATGTACATAGGTCCTAATAAAGGTTAGGATTAGGATTAATTTTATTTTTATTAGAAGCTTTAAGTATTACTTGCATTGCTTATGTATTTTTCTTAAAAAGTTGTTATAACATATTAGAACTAGTTTAAGCCAACACTCCCGGATGAACTTTTAAAAATACCCATTGTATAATGGTTCTTCAAACTATTCCCCCAATCTGAATAAGAACTTAACCAACTTGAGTCTAAACTGATGACCAATTTCGGTGATGAATATTTTTTTTCAGGACCCTAGCCGGCAGCAGCGGTGGCAGGCCAATTGCGATGAGTGTCCAAGGCCGGGCCGACCTTCAAACAGACACTCGACAGCAGCCGAATCAGCCACTCACTCAATAGTTGGCGGTTAGTCAGAGATGGCATCCAGGATAGAAAGGGTGAGGGGTGACCAGTGAATGGGTGGACAGACAGCACTTGAATTAATAAGTTTTCTTTTTTGTTAATTAACTTAAGTAACTGCCTCGACAAATCAAAGGGGAGGCCCGACATTGGGCATTAGCCACACCCGATCCGATGCGATCTGGGAGGGCAAAGCCGAAAGCGAAAGTGACCAAGTGAAGTGAGAAAGCAAAACAAACCGTACAAAAAAAAGAGAAAAACAGAAGGGAATGATGGAACAACAAAGCGGAAGGAAAGCGGGCGAAAATCATTTGGCTTGGAAAGCAGTTTGCTTCAATTTATGCGCATTCCAATCAATAACTGTGACACATGCAAGGACAACAGGACAAGGAAAGCAAAGCAAAGGACCCACCCAACAACAACAGCAACAATAACAACAAGAAGAGCCACCCAGAAATCACCCAAGAAGAATCACGAGAAGAGTGAAAGTGCCAGGACATCGAGAGCATGGTAGATGGAAGATGGCTCGCTGGTGTTTGTGGCAAGGATATGAATGTGTCAAACTTATGCGGGCGTACAACACACATACACACCCAGTTAGATGGCACACACATACTCACTCAGGGTGCCTGTCGGTGTGCGTGCAGAAATTGATAAGAAACGGAATAACCCTCAAGAAAATTTGCGGCGAGCGACCATCTTGCATGTGTGTGTGTGAGTGGTGAGCAAGTGTTAGTGTGTGTGTGGGAAGGGAGAGGCCCCAAGAAAATGGAAAACAAAACCAA